AGCCCTGTTCATTGTGTCCAGTGCATCTAGGTGAACATACCTTTGAAAGCCAGAGTAATCCTCTTTTTCATACTCCTCAGAGGCTTAACCACCCTCAAGAGAGCACATAATCTGGTTAACTATCCTGTAATCCACTCCCCATGTTGCTTTTTCCCACCCTCATGTCATCTTCCTTTCATTCCCTCCTTAATTCCAAATGCATAAAAGAAACTGCAAAATTGTCATTCTCAGGAGCATTTGAGAGCTTGCTTCCAGGAAACTGTCATCAGTTTGGCTCAAATAAATTCTTATAAAAGTTCTCTACAGGTCTGGATGCTCTTAGGACGACAAAATAATATGTATATAATATGTCGTTGAGCTTATAACATGTAGAGATGCAATATATTTGCCAATAACATCACAAAGGGTGGGAGCACAGCTATACTGGGATAAAGAAATGACTCCAGATGGTAACTGAAACACAAGAGAAGAAAGGAAGACAACCAGAAATGATAAATATGATGGTTAATATAACAAAAGCCATAAATATTTACTTGCCTTCCTTTCTTCTCTCAGCTTCTTTAAAACTTATATCATATAAAGTAATAATTATGACAATGTACTGTCAGGATTGCAATGTTTATAGATTACACACACACACACACACACACACAAAACAAAATGCAAGAAAGGAACCACAGCTATACAAGAGTCATATTTCTATATCTCAGTAGAATTAAATTATAAAATCCTTAGAAGAAAACATATGTGTAAATCTTCATGACCTCATATTTGGCAATGGATTCTTAGCTATAACACCAAAAGTATGACCAACAAAAGAAAAAAGTAGATAAATTTGACTTCTTCAAAATGAAACACTTTTGTGCTTCAAAGGCCACTATCAAGAAAGTAAAAAAATAACCCACAGAATGGGAGAAAATATTTGCAAATCATATATCTGATAAGGGACTTGAATCTGGAATGTATAACAAACTCTCACATCTCAATAATAAAAGACCAATAACCCAATTAAATAATGGGCAAACAACCTGAATAGACACTTCTCCAAAGAAGATACACAAATGGCCAATAAGCTCACGAGAAGATGCTCACCATCATCAGTCATCAGGGAAACGCAAACCAAAACCATAGTGAGATACCACGTCACACCTCCTAGGAGGACTACAACAAAAAAATCAGACAACAACAATTACTGGCAAGGATGTGGAGAAATTGGAATCCTCATACACTTCTTATGGTAATATAAAATGGTGGTCACTTTGAAAATGAGTCTGGCAGTTACTTAAATAATTAAACACAGGGACCGGCCGAGTGGCGCGTTGGTTAAGAGCTGGCTTGGGACGCCAGCTCTGAGCAGCAGGGTCCCCGGTTCGGATCCCACATGAGGGTCAGTGACGCTGCGCCCTCTACAGCTAAGATGCTGAACAACAGCTCGACCTGGAGCTGGGCTGCTGTGAGTCGCCGGTAATGGCATAGGCTGCAGTGAGGCTGCAGTGGGTTGCTGAGAGCTACCGTGAGTGGCTGGCACCCAGCGTGAGCTGCCAAGAGCCTCCGTGGGCGGCCGTCCAGTGGCCGGCGACCGATCTTCCTCAGCCGGGAAGAGCGCAATGAGCATAATACCAATAATGTATGGTATGTGAATTCATCTCAATAAAAATGTGTTAAAAAACAAAGAAGAAAGTATATGGTCAATGCCAGGATCAACAGTCAAGGACTCTGTGGATTAACCATATGATGCCTCAGTTTCTACCATTTAAATATTAACGAAATAAACCCAAAACTCTACCATTCAAAATTCATAAGTCCTTTTTTTTTTAAAGAAAATTTATTGGGGAACAGTGTGTGTTTCCAGGACCCATCAGCTCTGAGTCAAGTACCGTATTTCCCCATGTATAAGATGCACCCTTTTCCGAAAAATTTGGGGTCTAAAAACTGGGTGCGTCTTATATAGTGGTTGTAATTTTGTTTTTACTTGCATTTCCCGCTTTTTCTGTGCTCATACAACCACTGTATAAGGCACACCCAGTTTTTAGACCCCAAATTTTTCGGTAAAGGGTGTGTCTTATACATGGGGAAATACAGTAGCTGTTTCAATCTAGTTGTGGAGCATGCAGCTCCTTGGCCCATGTGGGAATTGAACCGACAACCTTGGTTATGAGCCTGCACGCTGACCACCTGAGCTAACCGGCTGCCCCCCATAAGTCCTTTCAATATTAAATAATGTAGTAGAGAGGCAACTGTATAATAAATCATTACAATTTAAATCTTATCACACAAAATCTTTCAGTTTTAAGACACACTTTTATGTTTAAGATCTTGAGACAAGTATCTTTATAAATCCACCAACATTTATTGTGTGCCTGGTGTCTGCCAGAGTCCTATTTACCCTTATGTAAATGCTTCACAGACAGAAGGGAAGAAATGAATGAATGGCCTTAAAGGTTGTCATTTTTCCATACTAGGACTTAGTTTCCTCATCTGTAAAATTAGAAGGGCCAGATATGATATTCTCTAGAACAGTGCTGTTGAACAGAACTTTCTGCAACGATGGAAAATTCCATATCTATGTAGCTATTCAGCCCTTGACATGTGCTAATGCAACTGAGGAATTATATATTTAATTTGATTTTAATGTAAATGGCCATATGAAGCTACTGACTACCACACTGCACAGCATAGCTCTAGGGCATAATGCTGTGTGAAAACACTTTACAATGCATCCCAGTTATCACAGATGTGTGTCTAAAACAAAAGTACATAAAACAAAACTTCCCTTAATATGTATAAAGCACTGATATTTTCTTTTCTATTCTACTGAATTTCATCTTTGAAAAAGTGCTGATCCAACCAACTAACATGATTTCCTAACACTGCAGTAAGGTTTCTTTCAGCTATAAAACATTATGCTACATACTGATTGTCCTAAAAGCATGCACTCAATATTTATTTTGTAATCTTAATCACAAGTCACTAATTAATTTGAATGTGCCTCACGTTATGTCAGGTTCTACTTTAAAAGGCTTATAAGTGTCCGGCCAAGTGGCTCAGTTGGTTAAGAACTCGCTTAAGAGCGTGAGCTCTGAGCAACAGTGTTGCATGGGTTTAAGAAGTAGAAAACAAAGGTAACATCCTTCCCTTGTTTTTCATACTAGAGATATGGGAACCAAAGAAGACGGGTGGATGTAGAGGAGAGAGTGTGGGAAGTTGTGGGGACAGTGTGATGAAAAGGAGAAAGCTGACATCTCACTGCCATAACCTGCCCTGAAGCTCCTAATGACTTCTCTTCCCCGTCATTCTTCTGGCCTGACAAAGTCCTACAAATGGTACCTTAACTTCATTTGTCTTAAGATAGGACTACAGAACAAGACTGGTTCCCAGGAGATCATGTGTTAAAAACTTTGAATGATCAAGTGTTGTAAAAACCGTAATAACATGATCCGAACTGGCCACTTACTGTCTTGAACTGTTCACTAGTCTAAACCATATGCAGTCCTACAAAAGGTCCATGCCCTGTCTCTCTTACCCGTGGGCCTTTGCGTTCTATTATTCCCTCTTTAACTAATTTCTCCTAATATTTCAGGTCTTGGCTTAGGTTATCAGTCACTCAAGGCAGTTTTCCCCGAGCCATGTATATTCTTCCAGGACTCTGTGCCTTCCCCATCACTGCACTGCTGTACTATTATTATTGGCTGTTTCCTTAATCTATTTCCCCTCCTAGATTTTAAACTGTTTAAAGACAGGCCAATATTTTTTTTTTGTTCAGTGCTGTGAAGGTGCTTATTAATTATTGAATGAAGGAATGCATTCCACACGCCCAGTGTCATTCCCTACTCTCCATGCTTGCAATGTTCTCCCCAGTTCTATCACCAGCATGAGACCCTCTCTGTAATCTGATCCTAAATTGTCACTATTTCCTCTGGATGCATACAGCCGTTATTGTTCATAGTATTCATGTGATATTTAACCTGCTACCTTGTTTTTTAGTTTCTCTTGTAATGTCTAGATCCTGTCTCCTTCATTAAACTGACCCATATTAAAGGCACTACTGTATGTTTCTCTTGGTACCCCATTATCTAGGACAGTGCTATGGGCAGGGTAGCCATTAAATATTTGTTGACAAAGAATCAAAATTTGAAGAGGCTGGCTTTTTACACAAAGTTGACAATACTTTAGTGATACTCATGAGTAAGTGGTGACATTTAAACGTTCTGTTGATACGCAGCAAAGAAAAAGATACACTGGAGTAGGGAAAGTACAAATAATAAAAGAAAATGTTCTTGAGAGATAACAATGGACACAAATATTTAGAGGCACTTTAAACTTAGCTACATTCATCAGATAAAGATAAGTAGTAGCTTTATGGCTTCCAAAGTGATCTGTATACACAGAAGAACACTATTTTCAGATCAAAGGACAATCGTGTTTACATATGAATTTAGGAACGTCTGTTTTGGAGAGAAAGATAATGAAGGGTTTTAGCCAGTGAAAGAGCCCTGTCAGCAAGGAACTTAACTGGTGCCAACTCAATTTGCCGCTTGTTCATAGGCAGCTTGCTGTCATGTCACAGCGCAGTCTAAATTGCTACTTCCGACTGAGTAAAATGTGAACCGGGAGCAAACTGGTCCCAAATTCCATTCCTAACTAACTTCGGAGAGTGGCCCACTTTTCCTTGCATTTAGATAAGTAAGCACTATGGGAATGGTGTCGACCCCATCTCTTCCACTGAGAGAAAACACTGTAAATCCCGCGACTCCCCAGCGCTCCAGGACCCTGGGTCCGGAACCTCCCGTCCTGTTCCCATCGTCTGTAGCCCCAAAGGGCTTGTTCACCCCTTCCTCCAATTACTACCCCTAATTTCCTTCAGCTACTGCTGTTCCAGTTAGCCCTGACAACCTTTACTCTTGGCGCTTTCTCTGACCCGAGGTCATGAGTGAGTGCAGCGTCTTCCCCACAGGTCCCCTCGTCCTTCACCCCACTCTTCCATGTGAAAGGGATATCACCTGGCAGGTTCGAGTAGTTCCCGGGACAATGGGGTGACGTGACCTCCATTGCGGACCTGATCCGCTCACGGAGACCAGAGGCCGGATCAGAATGGCGACGTGCAGGCGCTTTTCCAAAGCAGCTGCCGCCGCTGCCCAGCGCCAGGTATGTATCCTGAGCAGCGCCATCTTCAGCGAGGAAAGAGGAACCAAGAGCGGAGGATTGTGGGACGCTGACGGATCGCACTTGGCGGCCTTAAGCCTCTCTCCCCTCCCCCTCGTTTTTCCAGATCCCAAGAGCGGAAATAGTCTCTCTGAATCTTCCACTACTTCTAGGGCCGGCATTTGATCGTTTTTCTTACACAACCTGGAACATCATAGTGATAGCTCCTCTCTCTTCACCTAGACTGCCCAGATAAAATACAGGATGTGCTGTTAAACTTGAATTTGGATAAACAACGGCTCATTTTTTAGTATGTCTCAAATATTGCATTTGCTACAATCTGGAAACCTTACCTTGTCCATCTCTTAACTCTTCTCTTACCACCTCCAACTCAGTGCCACACTCCACTCTGCATTTTCCCTCACATTCTTATCTCCTGTGCACTAACACTTAGCGGACAGGAGACGACAAAGGCTAACTTGCACTGGAAGGAAGCTTCATCCGATAGATTCCCTCTCCCTCTTGGCTGATTGTTCTCTTTCGCGCAAACCTTGGGTCCCTTTTCCTTTGATCTGTGGCTCGTGAGCACAGTTTTACGTTCACACAGCTTTACTCTGCTAATTTGCCTCTCTAGCTCTGCCCTTTGGTTCCCGCGCCACCCCTAATTATTTCAAAACAGTTAGATAGTAAAGTGAAAATGTATGTAAAGTCCATGGTTAAAGGCGGGTTTACATTCTTTTGTCACCACTATCATCAAACAAAAGGCTGTTGAAATATGTTTACAATTATCAGGAAAACCATTTCCAACTGTAAATGTTACTTGAAACCCTGGAGACAGTAATGCAGTTGCAATTTTGTATTCATTGCTGCATACTCAAACCTGTCACACAAGATGCAAATTATGAGCTCCTTTGGCAGAGGCTCCCTGAGAACAAAGAATATGCATGGCCCAGGCAGTTACCTTTACTTTGTTTCAAAACTCATATTACACTACACTCCAGGTTTCCAGAGAAGAGGATGCTTGAGCAGAGTTATTTAAATAGCAATGATGTTTCTGTTGCACAGGTTGAAGGGAATGCCATGTAAATGAAATGGCAAGCTAAAAGCCAGAAGGCATAAGAAAATGTTTCCAGGTTCAAGAGTCCAGGGAGAGTCTGGCAGAGTAGTCGGAAATGAGCCTGGGTGAGCAGGGGCCTGACAGTGAACGGCCGTGTACTTCATTCTAAGAAGGTAATACTTGATCGTGGAGCCAGTGAAGGGTTTTAATCAGCAGAGTAACATGATCAAATCTGTGTCCCATTAAATGACTCTGGCTTCATTGGGAAGTTTGGACTGGAGGCAATTCAGATTGGAGTCATGGCATTAATGTGATAATTCGGCCCTAAAATAAAGGCCTCAACCTGGCACCCACAGCGGCAGTAGATCAGTTTCTGAGATATTAGGGACATGGCATTGACAGGACTTAGTGAGTAATTCGATGTAGTCAGCAACCATTCTGTTAGAGAACAACACTACACTACAGAAACCCTAGGGTCTTCTAATGAGTTCTATAATAGTAGGGCTGAATATTGCCACTGAATCTTTCTACCCAGGTAAGGCATTGTCCAGTAATGCTCTTTTTTAAAATGTGGGAACCTATACAATATCTATTTTGTGAGAGATTGTCAATACAATGTGATAACATAATATCTTTAATTTTTATACTTTAAGAAACTCTCATACACATTATCTTGCTGGATCTTAATAACAGTTTTTGGGGGGCTATTCCTAATTCCTAGTAGATAAAAAAGACGAGGGCCACATGATGATAGAATCAGAGCTAGAATAGTGGTATTCTGACTGCTCTTCCAGTTCTTTATATTAAATATGTTGCCTACAAACACAAGATTTAATTGGAAGTCTCTAGAGGCCATATAGAATCATGAGATTTTAAATCAGGCAAGATTTCAGAATTCTGAGACACCTGACCCTACAGATAATTTCTCGGGATTCTGGAGAAGTTTCACTAGAATCACCTATAGGCATTATTGTCTTGGAACTACAGTTGTGAGGTCTTTTAGTGGAGTCAACATATTTTTACTGAAGTAGCGCTCATTGTAAGCCAACTCCTGATTAAGAAATGTGAATAACATTGGAATACCTAAGTAGTTACTCTATGATGAGCTACAGGGGGCAAACATGAGCCAAATAAGCCAAAGTAAATTTCCAGTGCACCAGAAATAGAACATGAAGCAAGTGAGAGTTGTGAACTGCTGGAGAACTATAGCAACTTGCCTGTAGATAAGTATCCGAAACAAATTAGAGGAGTATACAATAAAAGCCACTATAAATAGCTGCTGTAGATGCAGATCACATGATACCACTTTAAGCAATAATTATACCTATGGATAGTATTTTGTAAGTTACAAAATGCTTTCTCATACCTTATTTAATACAAAAACCTTGGAGGTTAGGTATTATTTATTCCCATATGAGAAAATAGGCTGAGACAGGTTGTGACTTGACGGAGCTCACAGAGCTAATAGGATGAAGACCACACCTAGGTTTTATGACTTCAAATACAGTGCTCTTTTCATTTAATTACAACTGAAATATGGAAGAAACACTTGAGTACTTCAGGAAGGCCACAGTTGTCTTTCCTGTTTCTAGAAAACACCAGAATTTATTCCTACTTAAGTGCCTTTGCACTTCCTTTCCCCTCTGTCTGGAACATATTTCATGGAGACTTTTTAAATGACTCATATCACCTGTTTAGAGAAGTTTTCTGGTACACCATATCTAAACAAGCTATCCCCTGTTCCTGCCACACTCCATGATAATGTCTTGTTTTATTTCCCTTAAAATCTCACTAATTAAAGTGTGGTCCAGGGACCATCAGCATTGGCATCATCTGGAAGCTTATAACGTACTGTAGAATTTCAGGCCCCACTCCGGACCTAATGATTCAGAACCTACATTTCAATAAGAATTCCCCAGATTATCGATATGCACATTAAAATTCATGTAATTTTTTTTTAGCTGAGCCATCCCGCCACCTGTTGGCAGCTCAGCAGCAGCTCAGCTCAGGCTGGGAATCGAACCGCTGTTGCTCAGAGCTCACACTCTTGAGCAAGCTCTTAACCAACTGAGCCACTTGGCCAGCCCAGCACATTAAAATTGAGAAGCAAAGTCCTTGAGACTGGTATGTTGAAGTAGCAATTTCGAATGGTCCAAACCATGAATAGCTTCTCTCTTTAATCAGGAGTATGGGTGGTTATGGTGGTAATGTCTACCAGAGATACTGAGTTTGGCTGGGTAATTCCCTGAAGTCTACATTGAGGTTGTGGTATTGTTGTTGGAGAGTGGGCCCTTCTCGGTGCAAAGTCCAGGTCCTTGGCAACTCGAGCAAAGAATTGAACAAGATGCCGGAGTAAAGGAGTGAAAAAGTAGTTTATTAGAAGAGAAATTACATTCCAAAGAGTTTGGAGCGGGCCACGTGCACAGGTGAGGCTCCGAAGGCTCAAAAAAGGGAGGAAGGGGTTGAAAAAGGGAAGAAGCGGTAAAAAAGAGCAGGGTGGACTTCCCAGGACTTGGAGATTTTATCCCCTTTCTCTAGAATGGGCTCTTCCCCTTTGGGCGTGGGACCACTTGATTGGCACCTGTGATTGACAAGAGGTACTGCGCAGGTGCGAGTGACTGGTCTGATCTAGTTGGGTATTTTGTGCCCATTTGTTTTCCCGCAGGGGAAGGTAATTACAATACAAAGGGGAGTTTTGGGTGGAGAGGGGATGTCCCCTTGGCTGTCCCACTCTGTGGGATGTGCAGGAATGCAGAGACCCAATGCCTGCCTCTAACTGCCTGCCCAGTTTTCCCCTTGAGAGACGTGATCCCCATAAAATCTCTATGAGAAGCTGAGGGACAGGAGGTCTCTTCTTCTGTAGCTGCTTCCTGCTGGGCAGGGGCGTAGAGCTGTCCCTGCCTATTGGGGGATTCTTCACGGAACTCGCGCCCTAGCTGATCTCAGATGAGAGGAAGGGGTCTCGAGCTCCGCCTGGAAGGCTGTGTTGGCTTCTTTGGTTGTGACTGGCAATCTTTTTTTTTTTTAATTGGGGAATTGGGGTATGGGAACAGCGCTGGGGAATTGGAGGAACAGGAACAGACAAGTCCTTTTGTTCTTCAGTCTAGTTGTGGAGGACGTAGCTTCACTGGCCCAAGTTGGCACCATCGTTGTGCTCTTCCCGGGTGAGGCAGATCAGTCACCGGCTTCTGGACGGCAGCTACTGGCCGCTCAGGCTGGCTGCTGGCTACACATGGTAGCCCATGGCAACCCACTGCAGCAGGGGCTGCAGACTACGCCATCGCCGGCGACTCCCGGCAGCCCAGCTCCACGTTGAGCTGTTGTTCAGCATCTTAGCTGTAGAGGGCAGTGTCACTGGCCCTCATATGTGGGATCCGAACCAGGGTCCTCTGGCGTCCCAAGCCAGCTCTTAACCAATGCACCACTTGGCTGGCCCAGTGACTGGCAATCTTGTTGGGGTATCCTCTGTATCCCCAAGGCCCCTGAATGAGGAAAAATAGGTTTTAATTAATAAATCTGTTAGCTCTCATGAAGCCTGTGGCCATTCAGCCTGTCACTCAGGTGGCATGAGTTGTCTGGGCCCAGAATGGGTTTGGCATTCAGCTTACTGGCCTGGGGGTATTAGGAAGTCACAGGCTTCCAAGTAGTTATCTGAAGCAGGGGTAGTAGATTTCTATGAACAATCTACTGTTAGGATTTAGAAACTGATTTACAAAGCAATCAAGAAGCAGGGGGATAGGAGAATTCTAGGATTCAGGCTAGGAGCAATCTTTAGCCTAGGATTCACACAAACTGGTTAGAAGTGTAATAATCAAAGCCAGGGGCTAAGAAACTAAGAAACTAGGGAGGAGACTTACCATTTACATAGGAAAGAACACTTAAAAGTTTCTCAGTGGTGGGGGTGCAGCTAGGTTGGCTGGTAACAGTAGGATGATGAAGTTTATTAGCCTAGAGGAAGTCAAGAAATACAATACAGGCGGTGCAAAAGATGGTGGTGGAACAGGCACCTAAACCGCAGCTTTGATTTGAATACTTGATAAGAACAAAAAAAGAAGCGACATGCTAGCGTCGTGATCTTGGACTTTCAGCCTGAAGAGCTGTGTAAAATAGATATCTGATTTTAAAGCATCCAGTCTATGGTATCTAGTTATAGAAGTAAAAAGTGAGTGAGGTAGGCAAGTGTATGAGCTTAGGAAGCTGCAGATTGTAGAACCGTCTAGTAGACGGCAGACTCCTGGGCAGGCTGCTGAGCATATTTTATTTGATCTTTTGGTTACACAGACAAGCTAACTGAAGGTGCAGTTACTGAAGTATAATGTGTCTGCAAAGACACAAAGTGTGAACACAGGGGCCTTGTGGGTGTAATCATTTTATCACCCTCCACCTCTAGCTTTTCCTAGGTCTAATGGCCACGCTAAATTCCGCGTGCAGAATCCCTAGGGTGTCACGGAAGCATCCCTAGTCTCAACAGATCTGCCAAGACTAGGCGTGGGAACCCACGCAGGTGGGCTGACTGCAAGGGTTAACACGCAGTGTGCAGCAGAGTGGCAGTGGCAGAAGCCAATAGGGTGTCTAGGCAGTCTATGCGCCTCGTAGGCGGGGCCAAAGGGAAACTTAGGAGGCCTGGGGGTGACTGGGCAGCCAAGCGTTGAGGTTCTGAGGGGGCGGGGGCAACCGGCAGAGCACGTGAGCATCGGCCTCTTCTCTCCTTTATCCTTTAGGAGTCGGTACCTGCAGGAACAGCCACGCGTCCGGTGTATGGCCACGGAGTTACTGTGTCCGGACTCCATGCCCTGTCACAACCAAAAAGTAAACTCTGTCTCAAGCCTCGAGCCGCCGCGACCTGGCGACGTGATCCCGGATCATGCGGGAGGAGACCGCGCCCCGGCGGAGGGGGAGTCTCAGGCCTGCAGCAATGCCAGCCTCAACTCAGACAGCAGCGGTGGCAGGAGCAACTGTGACGCACAGCCTGGAGACTCCCTCCTAGGGGACTGCGAACTGTCCGGGCAGATAGGGGCGCAGCTTAAGCTGCTGCCCATGAATGATCAGATCCGGGAGCTGCAGACCATCATCCGGGACAAGTGAGCCGAGAGCGGAAGGGGGAAGGGAGGGAGGTGGAGCGTGTCTGGGGTGGTGGTGGGGTGGTGGTGGCGGTCATGAGAAGTAAAGGGACTAATGGGTAATTTCCCTGGCTTTGAGAAACTGGCCTGTGGAGATCTGGGCAAGGCTTTTCTTTGAAGGGCCGTCTCACGTGACCCAGACCTGCCGCCCTCTTTCCTCGTCTGTGCTTTGCGTTGCGGAGGAACACTTCCAGGTACCCTCCTGCTTCCTCTCTGTGTCTTCTGAACTCAGAGGAATCCTAACACATCCCAGGGAGGGAAACGTTCCTATGTTACCTGTCGCGTGCCTGTCCACGTGGTAAAGCCGTAACCCACAAATGGTTACTACCCAAGGTTACTCTATCCCCCAGTCACCTCAGGCTCACAAATAAAAATAAAGCAACTTCAAGAAAATTCTTTTGGGCTCAACTGGCCATCTGGCCCTTTAGCGTTCGCTATTACACATCTGTCATTTTCTGTAAGGTCTTCCTGTGTTGGGGTTTAGGTTTACTTGGTCACGTGCAAGCTTATCATCCAACTCTTATCAGGATTGTTTTATTGTAAACTTACAAAACGTCAACTGCTTCCTGCATACTTAATGCAGGAAAGGGAGTCTAAAGGAGCCTTTGGCGCCCCTCCTAACCCCAGAAGCTAAGGTAGCTCAAACTTCTTGTTTAATGCTATTTTGATTTCTCAAAACTCATGTTGTAGACCAGGTTTCTCAAGGGATATGTACAGCTGGCTTGTATATTGGCAGCACTTTAAAGGAGTAGCTACTGCATGTCAAAAATTCCTTTTTCACTGGGTACTTTCACCGTTTAACATGTTTATTGAGTCAGGATGCCACCCACTAAATCTTATTAGTCACTTATTCTCCTGATTTGTTCCCCTACCTCGCTCACATCCACACATTACTAAACAATCAACCTGATGAATATTCCACTTTGATTAGATAACTGCCCTATTTCAGCAGCTTTCTGCACCTTCTCGCAATCTACTGAATAAAGTCAAGAATCCTTAGCTTCACATTGAGGCTCCTCTTCATGGTTCCCTGGAACTAATTTCAAACATCCTTGCTTCTGCTCTCATCTAGAATTGTCCTTACTCCTCTGCATGTTCAATTCCTACGTATTCTTCAAGGTCAAATTCAACATTAAATGTCCACCTCTGCCAAGAAGGTTTCCCTAGTCATTCTTCCTGTGCCAATCTTTCCTGGCCTTTTTAATGCAATATTCACCTTTTATTTCGTATATTGGTATTTACCTATCAATCTTATCTCACCTATCAGATTTTAACCTCCTTGAGGACAAACGTATCTTTTACATTTTCGAATTGCAGCCATGCCTTGCAAATTCTAGACACTCAATTACTACAGGTTCTTTTCTGAAGCTCTTAAAAATTGTACTGATGAAACTGTACTGTGTAAATGTTTTTAGTGAACCCATATTGAAAACCACTGCACTCATATGATCTAATGAAGTGATCTTAAAATGTAGGCGGCGTAGGCTTGGTAGTTAGGAAGCTGAAATAAAACTTACCTGTAAAACAAAGAAAATAGGATGATGATTCTTGTTTCTGTGGAGCAGGAGTTACTGACCTTGAGTCTTGGACCCCACTGCTCCTGTAGATGGGCTTCAGAAATTATCTGGGAAAAGTTATTTGTATGTGCATTTTTAACAGTCTTTTTAAATAACCTCTCTACTATGATAATTCACATACAATAATCCACAGTTGAAAGTGTATGATTCATTGGTTCTTAAGTATGTTCATGGCTGTGCAAGCATCACCACAATCAACTTTGCATTTGTAAAATGAAGCTATTGATAGTATGTCATGGAGCTCCTGGGAGGCTAAAACACAATAGTTGACTGTCTGTGAACATCTGTTATACGGTGAACAGCGATGTGCCTTTAAGGCACTTCAAGCCTTCATGTGTGGATTTGTACATGCTTCGGATTGCATCCGTAGATGCTGCTTTCTTGAGCTTTCAAGAGACAATAAAAGGAGTTAAACTGTACACACAACTCATATTCTAACAACTTTAAAACCCTGAGAGATTCCAGATCATTTTTGTCCTGCTATGAAATAATATGGAAAGTCTTAGTACAATCTTTCATAACTAATTGATGCTTAGTTATTTAGGCTGGAGACAGTGTTTTAGTTTTGTTTCTGTTCATCAAATCTCTTAACAGAGGCCTGTGTTGCTTTTTCCTTCAAATATCGGCAGCCCTCACACAAATGAGACAGGATATGATGAAGTGACCGCCCCTTCCATAACTTACCATTGGTGCCCTACACAAGCCTTCCTCGGGTCGGGGCTTATGCTCCTGTCTGTTTGATGTGGCCTCATGCATGTGCACTAAGGACCTGTCTGATAATAGAAGACATTGGAGTACTTAGTGTTTACCTAGTGAAGGGATCGCTTTCTGAATTGACTGACATGGGGAAAAGGTTCCAGCCAGCAGGACTGCATGTTGTAACTATTAATATATAATGTAGGCAAGATCGAGAACATTGGATTCTAGCTGTACTTTAATTTCTAAATCGACTTAAAGTAAACAGTATGGGTCTCAACGTGTCTAAAACAGCAGGACCAACGTTAGTAATTATTGTTTGCAGTGGGATGACTTAGAGCAGGGACAGCTTTAATTGTCAAATAGCAGCTCTCAAGAGATGAGAGTTCATATTAGGTTCTCATAGTGTGTCCCTTTTTTGGAAAGTAGAGCAGGTACTTATTATGCAAAAGTTAGCTGAAGCTGATATTTTGGGGGAGACTGTGAAAGGTGTTCAAGTGTCTGTAAAACAAAATTACAGATCTGGTTAACTCTGATCACTTAACCTAATATAACTTTTCTATGTAATAAATTTATGTGTAACTTCAGAAATTAAAAACGAATATTATAAATGTGTTCCCAACATATGTTACTGGGCATTTCTTTAAGACAAACCGAGACTTTTTTTCTTTATTGAAAAACTGTGTTCTGGTTGCCTAGACAACTTTGTACAGGTCTAGCAAACAGGGCAGTATGCTTCAGTAATTTTTTTTTGTAGTTCACTGACTTTTTCTTCCTTAACATGCATGTTGTAAAGATTAATTATAGAAATGAAGGGTGCTAGTGTAATAGTGTAGTTTCATTTTAAAACCACAGTACATAAAATAGAGCCTATTTGAAATGGGCTCTCTGTGTATGTAGGTGTGTGTGGATAGATATTTCCGAGTCTGGGGAATATTTATATATAAAAAATACAGACTTATATTGTTGGTATTGCTCAATTATGGTCCATATTTTAGAAAGTTAATGGAACTGAACAGGAAGAAAGTTACTCCCCATGGTGCACAGCAGTGCCAAACACTGAACACCAAGTTTTGTGGTGGAGAAATTAGGGTTGCTTTATTTGCAGAGCACAGTGCAAGGAACATAGGAAGCTAGATCGCTTCAAGCCCAAACTCCCCAAGGACTTACAATTTGGGGCTTTTAGGGGCAGAAATCATGAGTAATCACGAGTAAGGGGGTCCAGGTTCATGGGCTGTGTTGACTGGTCAGTTCTTATGCAAGCTCTAGCAATCTGCATGATTCAGCTCTTGGTGGCATCTTGTCCAGGCGTACGTGACTGCAGAAAGGTGGTTTTGAACAGAAAGAGAGTTCTGTAAGACATGTTGGGGTTGTGAGTCAGTGATGTTATCTTAATAACAGAAAGAAGAGAACAAAACCATATATTTGATGTTTCGCAGGCTACATTCTTGTGTTATCTCAAGCAGAGTGGACCTTCTGAAACCTGCTTTACAGGCAGGCCTACAGGCCCCAGGATAGGACTACATTCCAGCATAGCAATGACTCTTAAGAAGGGCCAATTTAATCATTTTAACTAAAATCTAAATTCTAACATATCTAAGCTGTGAGGGTTTGCTGTCGGCTTCATTAATAGCCATAATATGATAAAACTGTGGATACTCTAAGAAACCTTGCATATGCCATTTTGATGCTCTGTGGGGGAGCATTTTAGGTATGCTATGCATAGGCAGATGGAGATTTTGAAGTACATAAACTGTAAATCAGTCTGTTTAGTCTAATCATTCAACTTGTATGGGAGAAGGAGGAGGAACAATACTAGACTTTTATGTACAGAAAAAAATTCAGCCTTTTTTTCTTTTAAAGATTTTATTAGGGAATTGAGGGAGGGGAACAGCACTGGAGAATCGGGAAAGGGGAACAGACAAGTTGCTGTCCTTTTGTTCTTCAGTCTAGTTGTGGAGGACGTCACTTCACTGGCCCATGTTGGTATTATCATTGCGCTCTTCCCGGGTGAGACAGTTGCTCACCGGCCATTGGACAGCCGCTCATGGCGGCTCACGGCAGCTCACGAAAGATCACACCTACTCCTGGCCAGCCCCACTGCAGCCTACGCCGTTGCCGGGGACTCACGGCAGCCCAGCTCCAGGTCGAGCTGTTGTTCACCATCTTAGCTGTAGAGGGCGCAGTGTCACTGGCCCTCATGTGGGATCTGAGCCGGGGCCCTGCTGCTCAGAGCTGGCGTCCCAAGCCAACTCCTAACCAATGCGCCACTCGGCCAGCCCAAAGTCAGCCTTTTAACATTCCCTTTTTGGTTGGTTAACAGCTTGAGCAAACCGGGAGTATTATTACTTGGGTACCTCAGGATATGAAAATATTGACCAGAAAAACAAACACAAGAAAATGGCAGAAAGATCTAGGGAACAAAATATTTGATTGAAAAACAGGCAAAAGGAACAAATTGTCAATCAATAGAGAAAGAGGTCAGAAATTAGGTTATGCGTTCTTGAAAGCAGTGGCAAAAGTATAGCATTTATTTGTACTATTATCCAAATAGGATTCCAAAAATGTGATGTGTTATTTATCTTGGTAATATGGGTTTTAGAGCTCGGTGGGAGACTGATCTTTCCAGTTTCTGTCTCTAATGTTGATATCGAATAAGTGTTTTCAATAATATTTATTAAGAAGAGGGAAGAGGAGGAGCAGGAGCAGGAGGGGGATGGAGAGAAGAAGGCTCCTGGGTGGCATGGTGCTCCTGCTCCTCCAGGCGCTGCCCAGCCCCCTGTCAGCCAGGGCTGAACCCCCGCAGGATAAGGAAACCTGTGGGGGTACTAACAATCAAAGCTACATGTGTGACACAGGACACTGCTGTGAACAGTCTCAGTGCTGCAACTACTACTATGAACTCTGGTGGTTCTGGCTGGTGTGGACCACCATCATCATCCTGAGCTGCTGCTGCGTCTGCCACCGCTGACAAGCCAAGCACCGCCTTCAGGCCCAGCAGTGGCAACATGAAATCAATCTGATCGCCTACTGCGAAGCCCACAATTACTCAGCGCTGCCGTTTTATTTCAGGTTTTTGCCAAACTGTTTACTACCTCCTTATGAGAAAGTGGCGACCCGACCTCCAACTCCTCCCCCACCATACAGTGCCTTCCAGCTAAGGCAGCAGCAGCTGCCTGCACAGTGTGGCCCTGCGGGTGGCAGCCCTCCAGGCGCCGATCCCACCAGGGGCTCCCAGGGGACGCAGAGCAGCCCCCTGTCTGGGCCCAGCAGAAGCAGCACGAGACCTCCAAGCATCATCACTGACCCTGAGCCCTCCGACATGCCAGCCAACCCAGCAGCCACCAAAGCCCCTGGAATGGAGCCCAGTGGCTCTGTGGCCGGCCTTGGGGAGCTGGCCCCTGGGGCCTTCCTGGACAAGGATTCCGAATGTAAGGAGGAGCTGCTGAAAGATTACAGCTGCGAGCCGGGCAGTGCCCTCCCTGACAGTAAGGACAAGATGCCTGGCAGACATCGCCACTTCACGGGTGACTCGGGCATTGAAGTGTGTGTGTGCAACCGGGGCCACCACGACGACAACCTCAAAGAGTTCAACGCGCTCATTGACGATGCTCTGGATGGGCCCCTGGACTTCTGTGACAGCTGCCCTGTGCAGCCCCCTGGCGACGAGGAGGAAGGGCTCTGCCAGCCCTCCGGGGAGCAGCCCCGAGAGCCTGGGCACCCCCACCTGCCACGGCCTCCCGCGTGCCTGCTGCTGAACACCATCAATGAGCAGGACTCCCCAAAACCCCAGAGCAGCAGCTCCCCCAGCTAGAGCAGGCCCTGCTTGTACCTGGGAACTTGGCAAAGCAACCAGGGTAGGGGAGAACCACAAGAGAAGCATTAAGTGACTTTCAGAGAAAGTGGCACAGCCACTTGGTTCTTTTTTCTTTTTCTTTTTCTTTTCGTCCTCCTCTGCTCCTGCATTTTCCTATATCTCCAGGTACTTGGGGTATGGATGCCTCTCTCCCGCCACAGAAGCACAGTGTTGTGGAGGGCTAAGAAGTTGGCTCTGTGACTCATTCCTCATACCCGACCCCGTCCCCCCCTTCCCCATCTCCCTTTTTCCCCTTTTCCAGTCACATCTCACTACCTGCTTGGGTCAGAGAGATGTGTGTTTTAGGAACCCCCAAAGAAGGGGGCTGAGACTGTGCCCTGGGGTGACTCTTGGTGATGGAGTACATTTTTTGGTGTTAATCTCAGTCTGGGAAAGGTGGCAGGTCTTGGCCCTGGGTGAAGAAGGAAGCCCACAGAGACCCAGGGGTTGTCACCCCTCGCCACTGGTGTCTGCAGAGCCAGAATTGGGCTAACACTGGGGGCGGATGAGAGCGGACGGGCAGTTGTGCGGTAGGTTGGTGGGGGGCTTGTGCTCTCAAATTCCAGGTGATGGGATCGATGCATCACGGTGAATCCTTGATGGGCCCTGCCCGGCAGCTTCTGCTCGGCTGCAGACTGGTTCACGTGTAGAAGATTCTACTGTTGTCTCTTTCGTTTTTCTTTAAAAATAAAATAAAAATAAAAATAACAAAAGCGAGCTAAAAACAAGAACATGGCCAGTGGGCAGGCAATAATTCTGTTCTGGAAAAGGGAAGTTGGTGGCCCTTTGCCAAGTTGGCCTTCAAAGAGCCCGGCTGCAGTGGAGGCAGGAAGAGGTGTTTTGTGCACCGGCGGGTGAGGGCTGCCCCTGGCACTTCTGTGGGTGCACAGCAGGCCCTGGGCTGTAGTGGTGGCCAGAGGTGCAGCTGTCTGCATCTCTGCCCTTTGGTCTGTGCCCGCAGGTGACCAGGGCCCTCCCCCATCCCAAGCACACAGTCTGCAGGCCTTCGTGTCTCACTGTTCTCTATGAACAAATGAGAAGGCTGTGGGTCCTGAGGGAGGGCAGCCCCACTGCCTGGCTCTCCCACAGTATTTTCTCTTGATCCTGAATAAGATTTTTTTTCCTTTTTTAAACCGACCACTTAGAAGAAATTCCTTGGTTATCTGTGCTTTCATTCCCTTTCCCTGTCCCCCATCCCTGTGAGTGGGGTAACTAATTGTAGCCTATGTAACGAATCCAGGTGGTTCAGGTAGGCGGGTGCAGGCAGCCGTCCAGAAGGACCACAGGATCCTCATTACTGTAGTTTGGCTTCAGATAACCAGTTGAGCTTTGATAGGAATCTGCATGGAGAAAGCAAATAGCCGAAATTAACATTCCCTGCCCAGCCCTGTTCATATGAAGAGTCTGGTTCCTTCCGCACTCTTGAACGATGATATTCAGACTAGGCATTGACGATATGGTAAGAAAGGAAAAAATATATATGTATACAAAAATAGACAAATCCAAGGCTGCGAGGTGAACGAGTGTCTGCGTTTGGAGTCCACAAAACCAAAATCCATGTTGAACCAAGTGAAGTCCGTATACAGTGACTTTTTAGATAAACCTGTGTGTGTCTGTCCATTGTGTGTTGAGCCCCTGACCCTGTTTTCCTGTGAATATACTTTGAATGGCAGCCATTCTGCTCATATTAACCACACGTTTGGAGCAAATATGGCCCTCTCAAGGTAATTAATTTTACGCGCTTACTGTTTACTAAACAAATGTCTGACTGTGTACTCGGGTGTGTACTCAGCAGCATTGTTGACCACAGTCCCCAGTATCTGCCAGCAATGCTGTGCTCGAAGTAGAGGTTTTACTCTACCCATCACTGCAATTTGCACATTGCTCTGTGGACACTCGGAGGCCTGTGTTCTGTTCCCTGTAAATGGAAACGTGCTCTGAACCTGTCTGCTTCCCTCGGCTGCTCCTGGCCCTGAGTATCAGCCCCCAGGGGGTGTCCACAACCACTCGGGACAGAAGACGAAGGTGGAACTTCAGACAGAAGCTTAATTGGATCTTCAGTGACAAGCTTGGACTAGCTGGGGCCTAGACGTTGGCTGTGCCCAGAATTGCCAGGAGGGTTTGGCAGACACCACAGGGCTTACCTCCCTCTGCTGAGGCCCAGTGTATGCAAGCAAGCTGGTGTGTGGCGAGAGTGGGCGGGAGTGCGTTAGCAGCCCTCAGAAGCCTTCCCTTCCACCATCTAAAACAAAAAAATCCCAAACAACTTACTGAAGTGTCTCCAAGGAGATCAAGTTTTACCAAAATGAATCCTTCTAGAGTTAACTGGTCAAATGGATGAATTCTGGCCCTCTCAAGTTTCCTTCCCCAGTTCAAGTGGGGAACTGGTCTGAGCGTGAACTGTTAGGTTCACTGCAGCGTCCTACCTTAACAGCACAAGAAGAAGATGGAACTGGTGGAGCTGGGCGTGATTCCAGCAGTCACAGTCTGGCCTCTACTACAGGAGGCCACCCTATAAGGAGACAGATGGAAATGGGGAGTCGAAGGACCAGTTAGAGGGCCAGGGGGATTTGATTGAGTCAGGTTTTCCAGGTGAAAGAAGGAAGGGGTTGGTTGAGGGTTTGGTGCTACAGTCGGAAGATTTGCAAATGCTAATACATTCCTATGTGAGGCACATCTCCATTTGTCAGTTATTGTGAATATGTGTTTTTTAAGCAATAAGATTCAGCTGGTCAGACTTTTCTGGGCAGTCTCAGTGACACATTTCCTGTGCTGTGATTGTTCTGAAGACAGAGTGGCTCTAACCACTGTGAGAAGCCCAAATAAAATCGATCCCAAAAATGCTAAATATATATATATATATATATATATATATATATATATATATATATATATATATATATATATATATATATATATATATATATGTATATATATATTTATTTATTAAGCCATTCCATTTAAGTTCCTGTATCCTAGTAAAAAATATCTTTCCATGTAATAGTCTGTACATGTCACCTTTTAAGTTTTTAGTATGTAATAGGTGTTACTATCAGTGTTACTATGTGTGTTAAGTAATATTTTATCTTAAAGCTCTAATCTACATTAAAACTTATACTACTTTTTTTTTAGGACAGCCAGTAGAGGGGACTTCATGTTTTCTGCGGATCGTTTGGTAGGTGGAAGCTTTCCACTTTTATTTCATTATTGTTCCTAGCAATATAATCATAGTAGGCTGAGGGGCTTTTTTGGTCTAGAGCAGGGGTTGGCAAACTTTTGAGATGGAAGAGCCGCCAGGGGTCAGCAAACTGTGGCTCACGAGCCACATGTGGCTCTTTGGGTACATACATGTGGCTCTGAAGTAAAATTGAGAATGAAAATAAAACTATCATAGTTTCACTTACAAAATTTTTAAAGGATCTTATTCACATAACTGTAATTATGTAAAAATATATTTATGGCTCTCGAATAATTTTTAAATTGTTGTGAGGGACAGGATTGGCTCTTCCAGGGGTCGGTAAAGCTTTGAGACAGAACGTACCCAAAGAGCCACATGTGGCTCGTGAGTCGCAGTTTGCAAACCCCTGGTCTAGAGCATTCTGGGGGTGAGAGAGATTGTACCAAGTAAGCATCATATTGCTACACTTCTGAAGTATTGTTTCTACTGTTGTATTAAAGCTCTATCAATCACCTTCACCTCAAAGTATTGCCCATGAACTCATTCTCTGTGGTTCTCAGGTGCCACTGCCTCTCAAATGGACCTTGTAAGTAACCTAGTCATGAGTAACCCTTAATACCTCATCTGAGGGCAGTGAAGTACATTAAAGGAAAACCAAGGATGTAAGGAGACCTCAAAGCTACCATATGATATTCATGTAATGCACAGAACCTAACTCACTTGTACTTTACATGGGGTATTTATTTTGCCTCTTGTGTTCTGCACTATCTTCACATGTGAAATATTAGGTTGGACTGTCTATGCTTTCCTCAAGGACTTTCTGTTAAGAATTGACCACGCTCAATTCTGTTTAGCTAGTGTGATCTGAGAGGATCTCAGGCCAAATTGGGTTGTCTTCAGGGTAAGCACTGTGTTTCCTTCTTGGGTTTATATGTAAGTGTGCTCATGCTTGGAATGCTGTGCTTATTAGCATTCATCCAATCATCAAATAGACATTGGACTCCTATAAGTCAGGTGCTGTGCTAGGATGTGTTGCCGATGGAGGACATACAGCAGTGAACAGTACAGACTTGGTCCCATCTCGCGGAGTTTACAATCAAAATTCAGTATTTAGTTTGGGAAACAGAGAACAGTGGCTTATTAACTTTCATTTAGATTTTCCCTATGGAAAATCTTTATTTCAAAAGAGTGTAGACAACTCCTGTTCTACTTTTGGTTTGAAATATTCTTACTTCAGAGGCCACTTCTATTTACAATTATTTGAGTTTGTAAGGGCAGCCATAACTTGGATTGCATCAAGACAAATGTAGTTGACCTTCCTGGATTGATGGCTCATTCTGTCATTGATATATGTCATTATCAAACCAAAGCAGGGTTTGGCAAACTGCGGCTCATGAGCCACATGCAGCTCTTTGGGTATGTTCCATCTCAAAAGTTTGCAGACCCCTGGAAGAGCCAATCCTGTCCCTCACAACAATTTAAAAATTATTCGAGAGCCATAAATATATTTTTACATAATTACAGTTATGTGAATAAGATCCTTTAAAAATTTTGTAAGTGAAACTATGATAGTTTTATTTTCATTCTCAATTTTACTTCAGAGCCACATGTACGTACCCAAAGAGCCTCATGTGGCTCGTGAGCCGCAGTTTGCTGTCCCCTGGCGGCTCTTCCATCTCAAAAGTTTGCCGACCCCTGAACCAAAGGAAAAGGTTCAAGGAGGAAGGAATTTGTGTCAATGGCTGCGGTGGGGAAAACAGAGGTCTTGTTCACTGGTAGAAAATGATTGCTCTTTCTTTCGCTTTCTTTTTTCTATAGAAAGTAGGAGTTAAGTTCATGGTTATTGTAAAGTGCTTGCCTGAAAGGGCAGTTATTATATCTTAGTCAAATGAGATAATAAGGAGGGCAGCCGAGTGGCTCAGTTGGTTAAGAGCTCACTCAAGAGTTTGAGCTCTGAGCAACAGCGGTTTGATTCCTGGCCCGAACTGAGCTGCTGCTGAGCTGCCAACAGGTGGCAGGATGGCTCAGCTAAAAACAAAACAACAAATGAGATAATAAGGACCCAGGGTATAATTTACCTGATGGGGTGATAATTGGGCCCCTTTGTTCTCTTCAGTTGGCTGTGAAGGTCCTGCTGTGAAGGTCCTGTTTTGGGGAGGTGGGGGTGGAGGGATTGGAGCTGTTTAGGGTTCCAGTGCTGAGGGTTTCTAGTGCACTGTCTCTTCTAGCACAAAGGTCCCATTGGAGTGGACAGTTCCACCCTGAATTTATCAGGATTTGTTTCCCTGGCACTCAGATCTTAAGAGGTAAGACTCTTTAGAGGAGTGTTAGACTCCTAGGGGGAGATCTAGGCTCTTCAAGGAAAAGGATCCTCTTCCCTTGCAATATGCTCTTAAGGAACAGTAACCTTGCCAGCCGAGTGGCTCAGTTGGTTAAGAGCTCGCTCAAGAGTTTGAGCTCTGAGCAACAGCGGTTTGATTCCCGGCCCGAGCTGAGCAGCCACTGAGCTGCCAACAGGTGGCAGGATGGCTCAGCTAAAAAAAAGAAACAAACAGTATCCTCTACAGAAGGTGGAGGTTACAGGTGAGTGTGCTGGCACGCTGCAATATTCCTGAGGTTCCTGGACCCTTTTCTCTCTAGCGCTGCAGGCAGATGAAGTGCTGGCCTATTTAGCACAGCTGCCTGCCCTTTGTCCCTGCTGTTCCTCATTCTCATTCACTAATGTAATATTGATTGAAGACATTCGCATTGCAGACCCAACACTGCCTGTACTTTAGTAGGCTCCAGGTGTCCCTCCTAAGGAATATCATCTGTGGTTTGTAGAGGCTGTTTCTAGTAGATCTCAGGGACCCTGTCCTCTGTACTACATATTGAGATCACTAGGAGCCTTTTTTTTTTAGCTGAGAAGGCCCATCTCAACTGGTTCCACCTCGAAGCTCAGTAAATGGGTTCAGCCACATCCACTCATTTATTTCTTCCTAAGAAGTTTCAGACTTTATTTGCATTATGGTGGGCTTTGTTAAGAAGAATGTAACTTAACAATTTCAAGGTACTGAGACAGGTTGACACATGCACCTTGGGCACTATGTCCAGAGAAACCAGAAGTTTATTACTTCCAAGGGTGTCTGCCATGATTCTTGTCTCTTGCTGTAGTCATGCATCTCTTTTAACAGAGCCTGGACTGACTGAATGAGAATCAGAAGGCATACTGGCACCTTTGGTTGGCACTCATGTGCCTAACCAAGGTTGGATACCTAGCAGCCTGGCATTTGGATCTCTCTCTCTGCATCCTTGCCTAGCGTGTTACTGAATTTTGCTTAGCAGATTTTGAACTTCCTCTTTCTTTGACTTTCTAGATCAGACTTGTTGTGGAAGAGGGATTGAATCAGCTACCATATAAAGAATGCATGGTGACCACTCCAACAGGTAACCAGGGCTGTTACCCTCATATTTTCCTCATAAAAATTCTGAGATAGAACTGGGGGGAAATGGAAAGAAAGCAGTCTGAGTAAATCGATATGCAGAATGACAAGTCGAGGTGGAACTGCTCTTTTAAACAAGTTAGTAAACATTTAGTGAAGAAATTTGTGTGGCTGACTTTTTGTTAATGGCTTGCTTGTCAATTCAAGTTAAAGCAGCGGTTCTCAACCTTCCTAATGCCGCGACCCCTTAATACAGTTCCTCATGTTGTGGTGACCCCCAACCATAAAATTATTTTTGTTGCTCCTCTATAACTAATTTTGCTACTGTTATGAATCGTAATGTAAATATCTTTTTGTTTTCCGATGGTCTTAGGTGACCCCTTTGAAAGGGTCATTCAATCCCCAAAAGGGTCACGACCCACAGGTTGATAACTGCTGAAAAGGTTAATAAATAGTCTTCAGCATGCAGCTGTAACTTTGATGATGGCCCATTTGGAACAGAGTTAATAATTGCTGGCAGCTTATCGTACCTCTGTGGGAAAGCTGCTGGTGTTAACAAATGGGTGGACTGTTTTGGCATTGAAACTCCAGGTAAAAGGATGAGAAGTAAAAAAGAAAAAGAAAACTACAAACAATGAGAATTGGAGATGGTGTTTTGTTCTACTCAAATAGAAAGCAGCCAAGAACCCTATTTCAGGGATCTGAAATTCTGATTTAATTGTTTAGTAAATAATGGAAGCTGTTCTATTCAAAGACTGCTGTTATGCAAATTGGGGGCTGAGCTTACTGCATGATAACTGATACAAATTCAGGATGAGAACAAGGGTTGAACATATCTTGGTAATGACTTCAGTCCCTCGCCTGCTTTTTAAGGCAGAATGGGGGTCATAGAAAGGGACGGAAGGGGGAGGGTCTCTGCTGTGGCTCACAGTGGGGCCAGTTTGAACTGATGAGGTTTATAGCATTCTGCTCTGAATTCAGTTTGAGGGCTGTGTTTGTGAATATCATACTATCATGTGTCCCTATTCCCCCTCGATGAAGCCCACAGATTTCTTATAAAGAATGAAGAAATAACTATGGAAAAGATTGACTCTTCTTATTACTTTCCCAGAGAACCTAAGACATTATGCAGTGTGTCTGGACAAGGGTTGCTTTAAGCCACAGACACTTGATAAAATGAGTAGGTTGCTCCAATGATGAAAGAGAAATTCTTTGGTTTTGTTTCTCAACAGGGTACAAGTATGAAGGAGTGAAATTTGAGAAGGGAAATTGTGGGGTCAGCATAATGAGAAGCGGTAGGTCTGCGTATGTGTGATTTTCTCTCTGTGTGGAAACACTCGCTGTTTGCCAGCAGAGGTGATCTTGTCTGTCATCACTGTAGCCTTAGCTTACATCTCACCACCTATGCTGTCCACCCTGGAATCCCGGCCTGTGTGCATCTGCCCTAGTGGCCTAGTTTTATATTCGCTGGGTATCTGACCACATTGGCAAAAGCAGTAAACTGTCAGTAACTTTAGGTATTTCCAATGGCTGGTCTTATAAATGTTTTTATGTTTGAGTCCAACTGAAGGCCCTTCTAAACCAACCTTAGTGCAGCCAAATTATATGCCTGTAACTAGAACCTGTACCTGTTACATGGGGATGATTATTTCCATTCAGCAACTTAGTTAATTAATTCCTTTTTTTGCACAAGATCCAAGGTACAGTGGAAGCCCCACTTACTTGCACTGGAAACAGATGGATAATTATTATTAAAAACATATAAACATTCCCTTTTTTCCTCTGGCTGTGAAGGTCTGTGTGTGAATAATTGAATACCTCAAGTAAAATAGGAGTTTTAAAGTCCCTTTGTATTAGAAGGATTTAGCTCTCAAACAATGATACGTTTTTCAGGACAATGGTGTTCGACCTTTTGAAACTGATAAAGACCATGAGCATGGGCTTTTAAGGCACAGTCTCTTCTGTTTCAGTCCAGTTCCTGCACTAAAGGCAGCAGCATGATCCTGGCGCCCCTGGTGTCACCAGATGACTGTGGAGTGATACAGAGATGGGTTGTTTTTAACCTTAAGTGCTTATTGGTCAAATTTCATATATATATTAGAGACTTTTTATGTTTACAGTAGTGATATAAGGTTTCCTCTTAAAGTAAATATAAATGAAAACAGTTAATTTAAAGAAAAAATATTAAGTGAATAATAGTAGAAGCAGAATTCTTTTCTTAATTAAAGTTTATTGGGTTGACAATGGTTAGTAAAGTTACATAGATTTCAGGTGTACAATTCTGTAACACATCATCTGTATATTGCATTGTGTGCTTACCACCCAGAGTCAGTTCTCCTTCCATCACCATATATTTGATCCCCTCCCCCCTTACCCTCTAGTAACCACTAAACTGTTGTCTGTGTCTATCAGTTTTTGTTTGTTTGTCTTGTTCCTTTGTTGCTTTCCATTTTATATCCCACATATAAGTGAAATTATATGGCTTGAAGGTGGTATGAGGATGATTGACTTTTGACAAATACTTTGTTAAAAGAATTCACACTCAGGGCCAGCCAAGTGGCGCGATGGTTAAGAACTCGCTTGGGACGCCAGAGGGCCCCGGTTTGGATCCCACATATGAGGGCCAGTGACACTGCTCTCTACAGCTAAGATGCTGAACAACAGCTCAGCCTGGAGCTGGGCTGCTGTGAGTCACTGGCGACAGCGTAGGCTGCAGCCCCTGTGGCAGTGGGTTGCCAAGGGCTACCGTGTGTAGCCAGCAGCCAGCGTGAGCGGCCAGGAGCCACGGTGAGCGGCCGTCCAGAAGCCGGCAACTGATCTGCCTTGCCCGGGAAGAGTGCAATGATGGTGCCAACTTGGGCCAGTGAAGCAACGTCCTCCACAACTAGACTGAAGAATAAAAAAGGACAGCAACTTGTCTGTTCCCCTTCCCCTGATTCCCCAATAAAATGTTAAAAAAAAAGAATTCACACTAAAAAATAGCTCCATGTTCAGAAACCCAAGGTGCGGGGCAGGAAGGCAGGGTATTGTTGGTTGTGGTTCTCTGGGGGGAGAGGGAATAATACACTATTTTTTCACTATTTGCCAGCAAAACCTCTGCCACTGAAGTCATTGCTGAGGCTAAGTGATGATTCCTGATGCCATCTTGATCTAAAAGGAGATCCTTTGGTCTGTAGCCCCATTCTTACATACACCTTTTATGGTTTTTCGGATGAAAGTAATAAGTTTAGGTGTTTTAAAGGCTCCCTTAAAATAATACGAGTAAAATGTTCAATGATATTGGAAAAACTCAGGGAGCAGCTTAACAAAACACTTTATTTCCTGTAATCATGGAAGTATGACAGCTTATCCTAATTTCATTGACCTGCACTAAGTATAAAATATGAGCATATCAGAAGTAAAGCTGTTACCTCAAGAAGACTTGCTTCCATCTTGACAGTGTCCATCTCTCTGTAACCCTTTTTTCCTTCTTTTTTATTTCCTTCTTCAAGGTGAGGCTATGGAACAAGGTTTACGAGACTGCTGCCGATCCATACGGATTGGAAAAATCCTGATTCAGAGTGATGAGGAGACACAAAGAGCCAAAGTATATTATGCCAAGTTCCCCCCAGACATTTACAGGAGAAAAGTCCTTCTGATGTATCCGATTCTCAGTGAGTGGCTTGAGTTGGATCTGTAACCTTTGGTTAGGGTTTAAATTCCACTTAAAACTTGCCTTTGTATAAAGGCAAAAACTACTTCTAAATGTGTTTTTCTCTGTTGGATTTAGATTTGCCCTGGACAGTTCACTGGAGAATTTTACTGTGTGATAAGAGTCAAACTGTATTAGCACCAAAGAGCTTCTTTCTTAAAATGAATACATTGAAGCAAAGGATTGAGTGAGACACAGAACATAGATTGAAATGTGTCCCTTGTCTAGCCCAGCGAGCATAGCCATGATTATCTCAAGGATTCATCTCCTCTGGATGAAATTTTTTTTGTCTTATTTGGTTTCCTCAACTTACTCAGATCACACATGGCATGGTCTCCTGGGGTTAGGGATTGAGGGTGAGTGTTAAATTTGATTTAGTGGGTGTTAAATTCATACTGAATGAATTTAGGGCTTGTTGTGCATTAGAAAACTGAAAATTGTGTGTGCCATGTTCATTATTGAAAATAACACCATTGGTGAAGAACAAGTACCTTCTTCCAATGAAGCTTTGCCGAGTAGTGTCTTAATCTAGATACTAAACTGCCTTTCCTTTGGAGAAACATTGAAGACATTTTGAGATAAATGTTAAGTTGGCAATGCGTTTGGTTTCAGGCACTGGAAACACTGTGATTGAAGCTGTGAAGGTTCTTATAGAACATGGAGTTCAGCCCAGTGTTATCATCGTTCTCAGTCTGTTCTCCACACCTCATGGTAAGTGCTGCCTGAGGCTCCCTGCATGTCCATCTGTCCATCCTCTCATCCTGAGGGAAAGCTTATTTGCTTCCACATTAAATCTAAAGCAAATTTGGGGAGTTATAACTTGTGTTTCTCATCTCTAAGCTTAGTGATAGTATTTTATATGATTCTAATGTTCACATTCAAATGGGAGAGTATGAAGTAACCTCAAGGAAGGAGGTTGCCATTGTTTTCCTGGTGGCCATGTTTGGGTGGAGCCTGAAATGGCCCAAAGGTCCCTATTTCTGCAAACAGCAAGAAACATGAGGTTCTAGCCAGCCCTGGGGTCTTACTGAAGTAAGCTTCACACTGTGAAGCAAAGAGCAGAAGTTTCTTAGGGGTAGTAGATTGGGGAAGGGGGGTTATCACTTTATGAGGGGTGTAAATGTGTAACTATTACATTGTTTTGCACACCTGAAACTAATAATAAACAAAAAAGAGCAGAAGTTTCTTAAGTTAGATTTCTGCTCAAACAGCCTGGTGATAGAACTGAGTGTTCACCATTTCCTGAGGAAGATAAGCCGAATTTCAGACCCCACTTCTTGGCCACACAATCTAGGACAACTGTGCAATTATCCTAATAAAATAATCATAGGTACATATAGAAATTTAGCTTTTAGGATAGTCATTGTAGAGTTATATTTAGAGTAAGAAAAATTCAAACATATGTAAATGTCTTACAATAAGGAAATAGTTAAACAAATATATATTCCAAGAAGTCCCTGCACCTGTGTTCCAGTTGAGAAACCATCATCTTACGTATGATCCTATTTTCAAAAAGAACTACATTCTCTCTTTTCCATCTGCCTTTAAAATAAAACAAAACAAGAGACTCTTCAGGGGGAGAGTTGCTGTAACTGATTATATTTTTCAAATCTGGGATATAAAACAATTTGGTTGTAAGAATTTATTAGTGAGTGGGCGGAGTATACTCTGACTACTATCAGAGCTTTTCAGATGTTAGACATTAAAAAAACTAAGAAGGGCCGGCTGAGTGGCTCAGTTGGTTAAGAGCTCGCTCAAGAGTTTGAGCTCTGAGCAATAGCGGTTTGATGCCTGGCCCAAACTGAGCTGCCGCTAAGCTGCTAATAGGTAGCAGGATGGCTCAGCTTAAAAATAAATAACTAAAAAATAAAAAAACTAAGAAGAGATTAACCAAGTCTGACTAGGTATCCAAAGGTCATTGCCCTCTGTCCTCTGTCAATTTGGAGTCTAGTGACTGACTATAAAATTCTTGAACTCCAATTACTGTTACCAAAAAAATCCCGCAATGACTATAATTTTCTTCCTCTTCTTTTTTTGAAGGTGCCAAATCAATCATTCAAGAGTTTCCAGAGATCACAATTTTAACTACTGAACTCCATCCTGTTGCACCTACACATTTTGGACAGAAATACTTTGGAACAGACTAAGTTATTGAGGGAAAATTAATTTTCTTTTGTAATAGTACAGTTATGTTTTGACTTTGTACCAGTGTTAGTAATTCACTTGAGAAGTAACAGAGAAAATTGTGTTAAAGATGCTTTATAACTTTTGGAAGTGCGTGTAGTAAAAAGGAAATACTTCAGGCTTATTTATTTTATTTGCTTACTTCTTGACTGTTGGCACCGAATTCAACAATGAAGTACACACAACTCTTGGAAAATATTTTAATAATATTCTTTATACAAATTGTTGATCCCTAAGTGCACTGAAACTGTTCCCTAATTTCTGAGCCTCTTGGTTTGTAGATTGCTTGTAGCCACAAATAAAACTGAAATGGGAGTCAGTTCTTTGGCCCACTATAGTTTACATTTTGTTGAGTTTGTTTTTAGTTCTAGGGAGTTCTTGTTTATGTGGCTTTCATTTTTGTTGTTGCCTTCCTCTACTCTTTACTTCCCGGTACTGTACATGCTGGTAAGTTGGAGAGGATGAAAAAATAACTCATCCTGGAATTTTACATTTCCTTAATATCCTCACTGAATTGGCAGACCCAGGATGTATGTATGCATAGCTCTTCTGTCAAGCCATTATGGTCTTCATGTCTCATTTTCTACCCTGTATTTCTGGTAGGTGCCTTGCCAACTGTAATGCAGTGAAGAAGATGGTGGGGACATTTCCTGCAACTGGAACTGTAACATGAAATGACTTAGATTGAACCAGTGATATCTGGATGCTGACAAGGGAGACCTAAGTACGGTCTATCCATGAATGCTCTGGAAAGGAATTGGTGGTAGTTTTGCTGAGTTGTGGGAGGAAGGGCAGCTGGGTCTTATGGCCAAGAAGTAAATTCAAATACTTGATATTATTTCCAATTTTACTTATTTTTTAAAATTATTTTTCAGTTACAGTTGACATTCAAGGTTATTTTATATTAGTTTCAGGTGTACTGCACAGTGGTTAGGTATTTATATAATTTATACAGTAATCCTCCCATAAGTCTAGTCCTCATCTGTCACCATACATAGGGCTTGCAACATTATTGACTCTATTTACTCTATGCTGTACTTCTTGATTTTTAATTTGAATGTTTCTAGTAGAGGCCTTTGATTTGGAAATTAGTTATTTTTCACGTTTGTCAACTGTAGATACATTAAAATGGGAGAAATACCATGATATTTTTAAAAAATCCCTAAAATGTATCACTACACCACTGCTCCAGAACAGTTGGCACAGCAAGTAGTCCACTTCTCTCAGACAGAAAATATAAAAAGGATGCTTATAATAGAAAATTGTCTTTAAAAACCCATTTCTGACATTTAAACACCAATGTGAATTTCACTAAAAATAACATACATGAGCTAAATATCCCAACAGATGTCATCTTAAAACTTGTTGAATTTGGTGAGAAACATTTGGTCCCCTGTTGTCTGAAGAGAGGATTGTACATAGTACCTGCTGTGTACATAGCCCATCTCACCGATATCCTTAGCAACAACCATTCTGTTGCTCAGCCAACTGCTCCAAAGCCTCAGGTAATGGGGTGAAAGATTATGCAAATAGCAAATTCTGAAACTATAATAAACTCAATAACAGACTTTGCATTAATTGGTAACCTGTAGCTCAGTTTGATAAGGTAACACAGTAGCACGTACAGGTTCACTCATTTGATGATTCTATAAAGATGGGACCCAATTTATGGTAGGAATTCTTAACTAGGGTATATGAATATATTTCAGAGTCTCTGGAAACCCTCTGAAATGGTAAAATTGTGTGTGTATAACCAAAATAAGGTTTAGAGTCCCTGGTTTAAGGCAAACTCAACTAAGTTCAAATAACTTCCCTTTCATCCTACTAGATTGGATAGCAATGGAAAGATTCCAAGGGGAATATAGTCAATAGTAGTGTGATGGTGACAGATGGTTACTAGACTTAGTAGGGTGATCACATCGTACAATAGAGAAATGTCAAATCACTGTGTTGTACACCTCTAACTAATATAATATTGTTGCCAACTATAATAAAAAAAATACCATGAGATACCACTTTATACCCATTAGGATGGCCATAATAAAAATTAAGAAATGTTTGCAAGGATGTAGAAAGATTGGAACCCTCATACACTGCTGGTGGGAATGTAAAGTGATGCCTCTGCTTTAGAAAACAGTTTGCAGTTCCTCAGATGGTTAAACATAAAATGACATGGTCCAATAATTCCAGTCCCAGGCATATTCCTCAGAGAAATAAAAGCATACCCTGCCCAAATACATTGTTATATTTATCAACTGGGATTGTAGTGTCTACTCCCCTTGACAACAGCCATGTGAATGCAAAGTTGTTTCTGATGACTTTGGCTGAACTGATGCTATCCAAAACTTTCAGGTGAGGAAAAGTAGAAAACTACATAAGTTGATTACAAATGAAAATATTTAAATATAATGTTTAGAAATACATGCTCCAGGTGGTTCTGTTAAGATAATCAAACAGAGGCAGTGAGAGAAATGCAAATCTGAAGTTGTCTCTGGTTCAGTCACCTAAAAGGGTAGTAGTAGTGTGAGCTCTGAGCAACAGCGGTTCGAGTCCCGGCCTGAGCTGAGCTGCCAACAGGTGGCAGGATGGCTCAGCTAAAATAAATAAATAAAAATAAAAATAAAAGGATAGAATAGAATAGAAGACTTCAAAGTTCTGAGGAAATGATAATCAAGTGGAAAGGGAGTTAAAATGTTTATGTATGGTATGACAGTGGATTGGGAAGTATAACTTAATCACAATTTTTTAAAAAGATTTTTATTGCGGAACTGAGGCAGGGGAACAGCCAAGTTGTTATCCTTCAATCTTAGTTGTGGAGGGCACAGCTAGCTCAGCGCCAAGTCCAGTCGCTATCCGGCCGCCCATCGGCAGCTTGCAGCCACTCAGCTCAAGGTGCTGTGTTCAATCTTAGTTGCGGGCAGGCGTAGCCCACCATCCCATGTGGGAGTCGAATTGGCAACCTTGTTGTTAGGAGCACATGCTCTCACCAGCTGAGCCATCCTGCCACCTGTTGGCAGCTCAGCGGCAGCTCAGCTCAGGTGCAGCTCACTGGCCCATGTGGGAATCAAACAGGTGACCCTGTTGCTCAGAGCTTGAGCTCTTAACCATCTGAGCTACTCGGCTGGCCTGACAATTTTTGATTAATTAGTAACCTACAATCCTTTAATGTTCCAAGAAGGAAATTTTACTTTCCCTATATAGTGACTTGAATTTTATTTTCATTGAAATTATTTTTTTGTAGTTGTCTTTTGCTTTTTTAATTTAAGTATAGCTGACATACACTATTATATTAGTTTCAGTTGTACAACACAGTGATTAGATATTTGTGTATCTTATGACGTTATCACCACACTAAAGCTAGCAACCATCTGTCACTGTGTAATTAGCACTATTATTGACTATATTCCCCTTCTCTCTTTTCACCCATCCCTCCACCCCAACTATCAGTTTGTTCTTTGTTTCTATCAGTCTGTTTTTGTTTTGTTTATTTTGTTTTTTAGATTACACATATAAGTGAATTCGTATGGCATTTGTCTTTCTCTGTCTGACTTATTTCACTTAGCCCAATACCCTCTAGGTCCATCCATGTTGTCGCAAATGCCATTAAATTCTTATATGCTACAGCCAGGTTTATTTTAGAGTTGACCAACCTTGTTAGGATCTGGGTCTGACAGTGTGCTAATTTGCAAATTATTTTGAATATTTCAGTTAAGGTTTATGAGAAAAATTTCTTTCAAAACCATAGCATATTCAAATACTACTTTGAAAGTTTGCTTAAAATGTGCTTTTTACTATCATACATTTTCCACCCGTGTAGAGCTGGAAGTCTAAACATTGAAACATTATGCTACTGTGTGAGAATGAATATTTTAATATTCAAAGAGAAACTGACTAGTTTTTCAATGTCCCTGCAAATGGTGAGAAAATTTGAAAATTTAGTGTTTATAACATGAAGAAAATGAATATTAATGCTTACACATTCCTATATGAACCATTATACATATATCTTTATGTTTATATGTATAAAGTTTCCTTTTAAACATCTATACCTTGAATTTCCTTAGTAACCGCTACTCAAATAAGGTTCTTGTGTAACGGTCTCTTCTTTTATCTAGAAAAAAATTAGTTGTCGGGCTGGCCAAGTAACGCGTTGGTTAGGAGCTGGCTTGGGACGCCAGCTCTGAGCAGCAGGACCCTAGTTCAGATCCCACATGAGGGCCAGTGACGCTGCATCCTCTACAGCTAAGATGGTGAAAAACAGCTCAACCTGGAGCTGGGCTGCTGTGAGTTGCTGGAGTAGGCTGCAGCCCCTGATGCAGTGGGCTGCTGTGAGCTACCGTGAATGGCTGGCACCAGCGTGAGTGGCCGGCAGCTGGTGTGAGCTGCCGTGAGCCGTGGCGAGTGGCCGTCCAATGGCTGGCAAGTGACTGCCTCACCCAGGAAGAGCACAATGATAATACCAACATGGGCCAGTGAAGCGATGTCCTCCACAACTAGACTGAAGAACAAAAAGACAGCAACTTGTCTGTTCCCCTCTCCAAATTCCCCAATAAAATCTTTCAGAAAGCAAAAAGCAAAAAAATTAGTTGTCCTTTATTTCTGGTTGAATTTTTTTTTTACATTGTGTTGTGATGCAAATTCCAGCTGTTTGTAGGTGATGCATTGGAATAAATAAAATGGGATTTTCATCAGCGATGATTGAGGTCTTTACCTAGGACAGAGTAAGTACTTTTTTACATTTAGTCACGGTCAACAATCATTATTGCAAACTTCAGCTTTCAGTGCTCTGTATGTTCAATGATTTCTGAGGGGGATTTTCTCCATTGTGTCCCAAAGGACTTTTGTGCAAATGGTGCATCTATTGAGGGGAACCTTATTTGGGGCTTCATGAAGGTCTCTTGAAATATAAGTTAGGAGCAAGTGAACCATTGTATTCTTTTCTCAGAATCAACTGCCATACATCCAGAGAATAATAAACATGGTCGTAAGTGTACAAAAAAGCAAACCAGAGTTCATATCACCCTTAGGTACATTAAGATTGGTTCTTCCTTTGGCTTTTTCTTTATCACAATAACAGAGATAAAGGCAAAAGGAGTGTGAGGCTGAGCAGAGACTGAACATGAGACTAGTCAGCTTTCTGTTTAAAAACCATTGCTGCTAATTTCCCAACTCATATCCATGTTGGATTGTAACAGATAAGTACTAAGCACAGGAAGGGGGGTGTTTGCAAGATGAGATGTTACCAAGGAGTCTACCTACCAAATGTACCAATTGACGTAGGAGTGAATAAACTCCACTAAACCCCTTGAAATAAGATTTATAGAAATTTCCATAAGAGTAGTCTGAAATTTTAGGCTTTGCCAACATGGCTTAACAAAACCATAATATATAAAAGAAACAACAATTTTATGCATATACTTTTAATAAAGGACATAGATAAAGCTGGCTAGTATTTGTAGGTATTTCTGTAGCAAGACACATGGCTTGAAGAATACTATTTATATAATCACTTTGAGCAGATTGCCAGAAAAAAGGATTTGTAGCAAATTGGCAACTTGAGCTTAATCGCTGTGAGGTCCCAAGCACCTTTCTTTTTCTGGCTTTCCATACATTTCATGTATTTCCAAGACCTAGTACCAGCAGGGTGATAGTGATTATCCCTTGGAAGCATCGTATTGTTGTTGTTAACACCATTCCATACTAAGAATCTATTTCCTGATGTATTGCATTCATTGTCTATTTTAACTCATTCTGTGGATGGCCATGCACCAGACTTCTATAAAGAGCACGTTGAATAGTTTTGAACAACATGTGGGACACAGCCCTAGCCCTTTTGGGAATGTAAACACTCATGCTGTTAGGAGCCACTGCTCATTATTGTATGACATAACACCTGCATGCAAAGTGTATAATCCAATATGGCACATTCCAGCTCTGGCTAAAGAAATGCAGATGTACCGTGCTTCATAAATGGTTTTCTACTGATTGGTTGGAGCTCATGAACTTTCTAAGAACATGGGGCTTGTAGAAGGGTAGTCCAATCTTTTTGATGCCTTCTATGCCTCTGACAAGAGGCAAAGAACATGTCTTTTGAACCAACTGAGTCTCTTAGCTACTCTGGGAGCAGAGGTTCTAGAATGTATAAATGGAATGATTTTCACTCGCAGTCACTGTGGGACTTTTTTGTAGAAGGATAGGACAGAGAATTATTCCTGTAAGGTATTTGGTCTCAATGACCAAGCAGCCTGTTTGGGAGGCAGTGTGTGTGTATGTGCATGTAGATACACAGAGAGTGCCAGAAAAATGTATACACATTTTAAGAAAGAATAAAACTATTAAAATTGTAATACTCAATATATACTGATAACAAAACATGAGTACAAATCACGTTTGACTTCTGCAATGACAAGAGGTGCTCAGAGTGGTTCCCATCAGCGTCCAACCTCTTCTGATTATGGTGAACTACTGCCTGAGCAACACTGACCAAAGTGTTTACTTGGATACATTTTTTTGCCACTCCTAGTGTATGTGTGATGAGAGGTGACTCTTACATCTTTGAATTTCAGGTGTGCATTACAATAATGTGTATTCAATAATCTTAAAACATACCTGCTGGGATTGTGCTCAAATCTCTACTAACTGCAATGTCTGCACTTTCTGCAATTTGGCATAAACATGGGGGAAGCACATTTTTTTCACTGCAAAAGTCAGCCTAGAGATTGGGCTCTGTCGGTTCAAGAGGAGATAATGCACTGGCTGATGCCACAGAGTGTGAAATACACGAGTGTGTCACAGAGGGCCAGTGAGGTAAAGAGGCACATACGAGTATTACATTTCTATCACATAGAAAATAATACTTGGCTGAAATGCATACTTTTGGATTTTGGACAGAGTGGGACTCTTCTGAAATGGGATCTTGCTCTCAGTGCTGTAAGCTGCTCCATAGTAATTGAAATCCCTCTAACAGTGCATGCATGTGGGAACGATGATTTCTGCCCCAGACAGCTATGTACTTTTGGAGGGCATTTCATTTATTTTGCCCTGAATTTTTTCAGCTGTCCCACAGGGAAATTATTTCTATTCTAAGGACATTGTTGGAGTGAATGGAAAAGCATTAATAAAGTACTCTGACCTCTGCAAGAACAAATCAGCAATGAGAGCATGGGAAAAAGGATGGAGAACACTGGTTGCTTAGAAACACTGTTTGCTTAAACCTTTCCTTCCAGCCCTACAATGACGGGTATTAAGAGCACTAGGGCGTTACATAGCACCATGCAGCCAAAAGACAATGAGTGTGTTTGTTTTGCAATGGGGAAGATGAGTACCAAAGATTGGGGAACGAGATCCACAGAGGTTACTGGACAGTGCCTCAAGGAAAAGGAAGCACAGGAGCCAGAGCTAATTCTCAAACAAACCTGTTTCCTTCATGAATAGGCAACCAATCGGGGGTGATTATGTACTGTAGTCAATGCTCCATAATCTATAAATAGTATCAGAGCCTACGAAGTAGTGCGATCAAGGTGCTAAGAGAGGAATAAGGTATTTTTATTTTGCCAAGCCCACAGGTAAGACACTGATCGATTTGGACTTTTGAAGACAGCCGTCTTGACCTTCACCCTTCTGGAGCTTCCCTGTAATTTCCTGACACAGTCTTTTATGACCTGATTTCTATTCATCAAAGAAGTTCACTCCTTTCTGACTTTGAATTATAGTTAGCAGCTTTGAGGAAGGCAAGATTGCTTTGAGTCCCACTGGCTGTGGAGTTAAGTAATGGCCCTACCTTTAGAGAAAGGTGCACTTGGATATGAATAGAAGGAAATCTTGTCCATGGTAAGACCATGTGGATGGCCAAATAAGCTTTCAAGAGAAACGTAAACAAGAGAGTGTTTTGGAGGGAGAGAGGAAGGGGATATATCTGAGCATATACAGTTTCACTGTGAAGCCCAGTATGCATACTCTTCTAGGTTGCCTCCTAGTATCTGAGTTTGAGAAACCCGGAAAGATTTAGTCATGTCTAGTATTCTTTCAAATTAAATGCTGGCCACAATCCATTTAATTTATGCTAAAAGACTTACCTTGACCAAAATTACCTAGAGGATCCCAGTGAACAGGTTTTTGTTGCGGGTTTTTTTTGGTTTTTTTGTTTTTTTGTTTTAGCTGAACCATCCTGCCACCTGTTGGCAGCTCAGCGGCAGCTCAGCTCAGGCTGGGAATCGAACCGGTGACCCTGTTGCTCAGAGCTCGCATTCTTGAGCGAACTCTTTTTAACCAACTGAGCCACTCGGCTGGCTCGGTTTTTGTTGCTTTAAGTAGCTGGACCGCTCACTTTCTCAGCTCCACTGGAGTCCAGACACTGCATTGTTTGTGGCAGGTAGTTCTTTTCTACTCAAAAACGTTTTAGGGGGAATCATTGAGTAAACCTAACATCCCTCTAGGAGCTCAACTACTTGATATCTTCAATATGCCTGTAACCCATCACTGATCTCTGTAGGAGTTGGGACTTCTATTGTCAAGAGCTGGCTGAGAAAGGAAAACCATCGATACCTTTATTAGGTGTGATGATTATAAAGAAGTGGCATTAGTGTCCATACTCACTGATTCAGGCACTAGGACTACAAGAAAGGCCAATTATAAATAAATGAATGTAAACTATCTTAATGGCTGAGCTACCACTGAAATTAAAAAAAAAAGAAAAAAAAGAAAGGATGGGCATATTACTATTAGGTTATCACTATCTGTACACTAACCCCTGCTGTGAAAACACAGATCTGTCGTGCTAATCCTTAGGCTAATTTGAACTGGGAAACTTTCCCTTATGAACAGTATTGTAATTAAAACTGAATATCACCCTTAAACCCTTTAATAAAATCTGTGGTTCTTCACTTAGGTCGGTACTTTTTCTTTCATCAAAACAATAATTCATAAAGGCTAAAATAAAGCTGGGTAGCAGAGAAAAGAATAAAAGTAATTAGAGAATATTACCACAGGCTGCCATCAAAATTCTTGAAAACACCAATTGTTATATTTAATAAAGTGGAAATCTGACCTGATCTTCCCTGTCAGTGTTGGAACTTTCAGGAACCACACAGAGAACAGGTTTTCCATTTACACTGCTGTTCAATTCCCAATTGGAGAACCTTCATCACAGTGTGTCGAATCTCCCTCTTGAATTTTAGGTACCGGATAAAGGGATGGCATTCACAGCTCAGCAGATATTTAAATTTCTATTTAGGGAAAAACCTGATTGAATAAAAACCTCAGTTTTTTAACCTTGATTTTCACAATGTCACAGCAACAAGTGTAGTCTGTAGCCTGATTCCCTTCTCAATGCCACAAAGACCCTATGGATACCATTAACAGTCTTCCCAGAGAGTCTCTGGAAAGATTTCTATATACATTTAGGCTTTGACAGATTGAGGAAGGGGAAATGAAGAAAGAAGGAGAGGAAGACTGGACTGAATTCACTGCTACCAGATTGATGAGTTTGGTCAGTAAATTCAATGACTTGCAAAGTCCTGAAACATGTATCGACACAAGTATTTGATGGAATGCTTTCAAATTGTGAAGTTTTCGATCCACCATGGTGAGTTATTTTGAAGATTACAATGGTTCCCAACATTGAACTCTGTAAGCTTCATGGGAGATAGAAGGTCCTGGGAATAAAAAGAAGCAATTCACAGGTGAGCAGAACAACTGTAAATATCTACATGGTGACACACATTGACAATAACATGCAACTGTTAAAATTATGTTTATAAAATTATGTTTCTACGTGTCAGCATTAAAAATGTTAAGTAATAAAAGCAGGATGCAAAATTATATATACAATGTTGTGATTATTTTTAACCCAGAAATTATATCTGCAACAAAAAGCCTGAGGAAATACACTAAATTGTTCTAAGGGTGCTTTCATGGGTAATTTATTTTCATTTTCTCTACTTTCTACTTATATTTCCCACATTTCCTCCAGTAAATATATAGTAATTTGATAACAAAAAACTGTTTTTTGAAATTCACATGGAAATAGCATGAGCTTTGAAATTGTGCAACTTTGAATTTTGGTTTTTAAAAATTATTTTTTTAAGTTACAGCTGACATTCAATATTATTTTATATTAGTTTCAGGTGTACAACATAGTCGTTAGACTTCTATATAATTTATGCAGTGATCCTCCTGATTAGTCTAGTCCCCACCTGGTACCCTACATAGTTATTACAACATTATTGACTATATTTCCTATACTTTACATCCCTGTGACTATTCTGTAACTACCAATTTGTACTTCTTAATCCTTTCCCCTTTTTCACCCAGCCACCAACCCCTCTATCATCTAGTAACCATCAGTTTGTTCTCTGTATCTATGAGTCTGTTTCTGTTTTGTTTGTTTGTTTATTGTGTTCTTTAGATTCCACATATAAGTGAGATCATATGGTATTTGTCTTTCTCTGTCTGACTTATTTCACTTTGCATATTACTCTCTAGTTAAATCTGTGTTGTTGCAAATGGTAAGATTTCATTCTTTTTATGGCACAGTAATATTCCATTGTATAAATGTACCACCTCCTCTTTATCCAATCATCTATTGATGGTCACTTCAGTGCTTCCATATTTTGGATATTGTGACTAATGCTGCAATGAACATAGGGGTGCATATGTCTTTTAAAATTAGTGAATCAAAGAAGGTTATTAAGTGATATAATGGAGTTTGGCAAAAAGAGCCTATTTGAAATCTATTTCATTTCAAACACCTGAAATGCACCAGGACAAGGTTTCTAATTCATAGTATGAAAGCACATAACCTGAATGGAATGTCTGGCTGTTTCGGGATACCCTGAGGGTCTTTTGGGCCAACTGAATAGTGTGACTTTGCAGGGAATAGAGGCATCTTTTTCAGTACATTACACAGGGAAATGATGTATAGAACTTGTGCTTATGTGACTAATACAAGAGTGAAGAACTTACCATCTTATTCACCAAGGTGAGAACTTCTTCCTTTCCTAGTACTTCTCCCGAGACTGCCTCTTAGCAGTCCAGGGGGCATTCTATGTGCCTCCCTCAGAATACTGACCTGTCACAGAGATGCAGGAAATGTGAAACTGCTACGTTTCCGTTTCCACCGCAAGAGACGATGAACCTTCTGGATAATCTGTAAGGTTGAAAAGTGAAGAGGATCAAATGTCCCTTTCTCTTGGATGGGTGGGTATTTATTCACTGGAATAGTTCCTTCTTTTCCAGTCACTGGCTCAGCATCATATGCCTTTACATGGAATATTTTGGATCTTGCTACTAACAAAATTACTATGTTTTGGTGTTATTCTGCTGGGCATAATGGAGATAGTATGTTAGGTGTTGGTGTGTTTCTAAAAAGGAATAATGGGGTCGGCCGAGTGGTGCGTTGGTTAAGAGCTGGCTTGGGACACCAGAGGGCCCCGGTTCGGATCCCACATATGAGGGCCAGTGACACTGCCCTCTACAGCTAAGACGCTGAACAACAGCTCAACCAGGAGCTGGGCTGCCATCAGTCGCCGGCGTTGGCATAGGCTGCAGCCCCTGTGGCAGTGGGTTGCCATGGGCTACCGTGTGTAGCCAGCAGTCAGTGTGAGCGGCCAGCAGCTGCCATGAGCGGCCATCCAGAAGCTGGCGACTGACTTGCCTCGCCCGGGAAGAGTGCAATGATGGTGAAGAACAAAACAACAGCAACTTGTCTGTTCTCCTTCCCCCAATTCCCCAATAAAAATCTTTAAAATCAATCAATCAATCAATCAATAATAAAAAGAAATGAGGTATCTAGAAAAGAAGAGGCTTTAGAATTAACATGCAACATCATTTATAGTACAAATATTTCTGTTTCCAATGTACAGCCTTTTGGGTGAGCAGAGTACAGTCTGAATCACCTAGTTTAATGTACAGATAGTCTCTTTCTTTATACTCCCTGTAGAACATACTTCACACTTTGAAATTTAAAAAAGGTGACCGTGGTTGTCCCTTACAGTTTCTGCTTTAGATGTGGGGTCATTGGGTTTCATTTTCATTTGTCTCAAGGTATCTTTCAATTTATTCCTGACCTCATTGCTGACCCACTCATTGTTTAGCAGCATGTTATTCAGCCTCCATGTGTTTGTGTGTTTTCCAGTTTTCTTCTTGTAATTGATTTCTAGTTTCATTCCATTGTGGTCAGGGAAGATGCTTTATATGATATAAATCTTCTTAAATTTATTGAGACTTCTTTTGTAGCCTAATATGTGGTCTATGCTAAAAAACAATTCATGTGCACTTGAACAGAATGTATATTCTGCTGCTTTTGGGTGAAATGCTCTGAAAATATTAATTAAATCCATCAGGTCTAGTGGGTCATTTAAGGCCACTGTTTCCATGTTGATTTTCTGTCTCGAGGATTTGTCCATTGGTGTCAGTGCTGTGTTGAAGTCCCTACTATGATTGTGTTACTGCTGATCTCTGCCTTTATGTCTGTCAATATTTATTTTGTATATTTTCTGGAGCTTTGTCCTATTCTTTCATTTGGAACATGTGTCTTTGTCTCCCCATTTTGGCTGCCTCTCTGTTTGTTTCCATGTATTAGGTAGGGCTGCTATGTCTCCCAGACTTGGCCAGGTGGCCTTATGTAGTAGGTGCCCTGTGGGAACCTGGCACAGTGTCCCTGATCACCTGCTCCAGGCTATCCAGGAGTGTCCCTTGTGTGAGTGTGTGTGCACTTCTGTTATAGGTGAGCTTTGATTGCTGTTGGCAGGTCAGTGGGTGGGACTGACCCTCAGGCTGACAGGCTGTGGGGTTTGGCCACATCCACAGCTTATAGGCTCCTGTGCAGGGGGCTTACCCCACTTGGTGGGATTACCCCAGAGGGCTCTGGTGCCTGTTGAGACTGCCCTTTGTGTGTGCCACTTGTGGGGCTAATTGGGTGCTGCCCTGCTGTGGTTGAAGGCTGTCTCCATGTATGTTGGTTCTGGAGCATCTTGGGGGGGTTTCCAGTGCAGGCCCACATCACCCAGTGCCTGTAACCGGCCCTGGGCTACCTGGTAGCAGCTACAAACTGAGCCGCAGCTGTTCACTGCCTGTGCTAGGTCTTGAAGCATGTTGGAGAGGCCACACTGAGATCTGAGGCCAGCTGCCACCAGTTCTAGGCCTGAGGCCATTCAGCCAAAGGCTCAGAGCACACCAAGAACTGCCATTGCCCACCTGGAGCCCGCTGACTCTGAGAATTATGCAAGCAACACTGCAACATGGGCCAACGCCAGATGCCCACCACGAAAATTACCTCTAGCAGTACAGGAGCCAAGGCCCACTGCCTGCTACCCAACATGCTTTAGGTGGTGCGCGAGCTGGGTGGTGCAGGGTCCCAGGGAGTCATCAGGGTGGAGAGAGTTGAGCTCACCAGGCCAATCAGATTCAGATTTGAATGTAAGTGTAGGGGGCAGGCTCAACACAGGAAAGATGGTGCCTACAGGCACAGGCTGCAGGGGAGAAAGGCTCAACACAGGAACAATAGCAGCTGTCCCTCCAGCTCTTGCCCTGAGGCCACACAAGTTAGTCTCTCCATGTATGTCTTGTACTTCCAGAGCTGTCACTGCTCTGGAGCCCAAGGTGAGTGCCTGTGAGGGAGAAAGTCTATTTGCGGGCCCTTGAAGAGGAAGCCTGGGTCTACAGCAGCTCTCTGTATGGACAGAATCCCCACTGATTTTCACAGCCAGATGTTGTGGGGGCTCCTCTTCTCAGCACTGGGGTTTTGGGCTGGGGAGCCCAGTGTGGGGCTGGGACCCCTGACTTCTCATAGGAACCTCCACAGCTGAGAGATCTCTCCTGAGTTTTAACCTCCACACGTGCGTGTGGGACCAGGCTGTTTCATGTCTCTAACCCTCATGGCTTCTTTATATCCTTAGTTATAGGACTTCTGTTCAGATAGATTTCACGTGGTTCTCCAGGTTGATTGTTCTATAATTTAACTCTTGTAGTTTTTTTGGTTTTTTAAAGATTTTTTTTATTGGGGAATTGGGGGATGGGAACAGCACTAAGGAACTGGGAAAGGGAAACAGACAAGCTGCTGTCCTTTTGTTCCTCAGTCCAGCTATGGAGGACACCGCTTCACTGGCCTAAGTTGGCACCATCATTGCACTCTTCCCGGGTGAGGCAGATCAGTCACCGGCTTCTGGACGGCCGCTCACGCTGGCTGCTGGCAACACACGGTAGCCCATGGCAACCCACTGCCACAGGGACTGCGGCCTACGCCATCGCCGGCGACTCACGGCAGCCCAGCTCCAGGTTGAGCTGTTGTTCAGCATCTTAGCTGTGGAGGGCAGCGTCACTGGCCATCATATGTGGGATCCAAACCGGGACCCTCTGGCGTCCCAAGCCAGCTCCTAGCAAACGCACCACTCGGCCGGCCCAACTCTTGTAGTTTTAATGTGATCATGGGAGGAAGGAAGCACAGAGTTTTTCTACTCTGCCATCTTAACTGAACTCTACCCTGCAGTCTGATCATTTTCTTTCAAACAGACCTTAAAAAGATCTATAAACTGAAAAGTAAATAGGAGCAAAGGAGAGACTCTGGGTGGTGTAGTGGTTAAGGGTTTGGACTTTGGAGCCAGATTCTGTGACTTACTAGCTCTGTGACTTTGAACTTCTCTGTGCTTGAGTTTCCTTATCTGTAAAATGGTGTTATTTAATATTTACAACTCAGAAAGTGCTTATGACTTAAATGTGACAATGCCTATAAATCACCTGGCATATAATAGTTATTCAACAAATGTTAATTGTAACCTTGGAATTAAACAGTCACCTATTGCAAGCTTATTTTGCTAGGCTATCATAGAATGATGAAATGAAGGTGACAGGTCTTTGACTTCAAGGCGTTCCTATCCAATCCCTTACCATCCAACCTCTGTTGGAGCCAGGTTACTTTCTTCATCACTTAGCTTGAGGTCTAGTGACTTTCTTTATACCTTCTCTCTCTTCATTCTTTGCCACTAATCCAAATCCTATTTAATCTTTTATACCCAAATTCTACCTCTGCTGTAAAGCCTTTCCTTACTAGCCTAGCCCTCAGGAATCACACTCTCCTTTGAATTCTTTTTTTGTTTGTTTTTTTTTTGTTTTAAGATTTTTATTGGGGAATTGGGGGATGGGAACAGTGCTGGGGAATTGGGGGAAGGGGAACAGACAAGTTGCTGTCATTTTGTTCTTCAATCTAGTTGTGGAGGATGTTGCTTCACTGGCCCAAGTTGGCACCATCATTGTGCTCTTCCCTGGCGAGGCAGATCAGTCGCCGGCTTCTGGACAGCTGCTCACTGCGGCTGCTGGCCGCTCATGCTGGCTGCTGGCTACACACAGTGGGCTGCATGGCAACCCACTGCAGCAGGGGCTGCAGCCTACACCGTCGCCGGTGACTCACGGCAGCCCAGCTCAAGGTTGAGCTGTTGTTCAGCATCTTAGCTGTAGAGGGCAGCGTCACTGGCCATCATATGTGGGATCCAAACCGGGACCCTCTGGCGTCCCAAGCCAGCTCCTAGCAAACTCACCACTCGGCCGGCCCTCTCCTTTGAATTCTTGTAGCACAAAATGTATGGTTCTATTTATTTGGTCAAGAACATGTCCCATACTGTGTTTTGTTAGACAACTTTTCATATATGTGTCTTATATCTCCAAATAAATGCAAGACCCTTGAATTCAGAAACAATAATGCATAACACCCCTTATGGGTCCAATATCATACCTGTAATATGCTCTCAACAAATACTAGTTTATTTCTTCCATTATTTTTCCTAACAGATTATTTATCATGGTAGCAGAAAGGCAGAAACTACCAGATTGAAAATAAATCAGAAACCTCTTCTACTTTGAGCAGTTTCTAATGGTCTCATACAAAAATGTTTTACATTTTGCCCAAATGCAGGAGTAGGAAAATTAGGCTATACATAAGACCCATCATATGCTTGAGTCTGAAGTCAATATTTTTTATGGGTAAGTGTCAAGCATTTGACAAGAAGGAGGTTAATGCTTCAAAGCCCTGGTTATCATTAACACCAGAGGTTGTATTAGCAATTTCAAGCAAATTTTTGTTTTTGTATTATGGAGATTTTCTTTACTTGATAAAATTGTCCTTTCAGAGATATATTTTATTAAAATTATCAAAAT